CTAGCAATGGAGCAATCTTTTCAGCTAGTTGTCATTATCAACTTGTCAGTCAGTCACGCTCCTTTGCTATTAATCCACTCGCAGGTGAGAGGAGCTCGGGAACGTTCTTATACCGACTAGTTATGGTAAGCCTCATATCACTTGATTTGCTTAAATCTTTAGGAACAATGCTGCAATCCAAAACTGTTCTTGCTCTATCGCGCCGACTTTTGGCAAGTACCAAAATCTCTACCGGGTGGGTTTAAGCCTCTCCTTCTGAAATGATCTTTTTAATTTACTATGTTTAGTATGTTATCTTATTGTTATGTGACAAAAATTCAACTTTTTTTGATGATTCTGATCTTTACTCATATACAAAGAGGACATGGATACTTAGAAAGGATTCCTGGTCGACTCGGCATATGATGGTTCAAAACTTGTTATCGTCATGATGTTTTGCATTTTGAAAGCACAATTTCTTGCATTTGCGAATGGATATTACCGAAATATTTTGAGACTATTTTGTGTCCTTCAAAAAGTCACGCAGTAGATGAGGTAACGTGCTTCTAACTGTGTGCAGAAGCAAGAAATTTACTCGCAATAGTGCATAACATTTTGCTCCAAAAGAACTGTCATTGATGTATTAGAGACTTCTAGAGAGAAATTTTGCATAGATTTACTCTAACGTTCAACCACGCAGAAGACCGTCTCGCAGGTGAGCACCTGGCTCGGAGATGGCGTGGATGGTTTGTGAAAGGTCATGTAATGGTTATCAAGACCATATTTATTTTTTCGCGAAGCTTGAGAAGGTGATACGGCATTTGAAAAACTCTTTTGCTCAATTAGTTTGAAGCTCAGTGAATTTTTCCTTCTCGGCTGTTGATTTCCTCCTAGAATTTTTTGAAGAAAAAACAGAGTTGAACTTCAAATCATTTTGTTTCGCTGAAAATATCTTAAGATTACACGTGCAATCATTAATTTTTGCATCTTATTGTTAGATATATGCCTTTGGAGTCAAACGTTGTTGATTCAAACCAACATTTGAAGATTTCCGCTTTTAAAACTAATTTGCGTTTAGACCTTGTATGACAAGTATGTTATAGGACTCGACATTCTGTCATTTCACGTAAAGCTTAGTTGTTCCAAACAATTTCCAGCATCTTGGCAAGGCGCCGTACAGCATTTGGCGATATACCCACATTTTCATCATTCTTAATACGACAAGGATGGTCCGCTAATGTGCAAAATGTAACGACGTATCCGTAGGATTGTCGCGAGATAAAAGACACTGCGCCGGCTGTGTAGAAAATTCGCGTAAACAATACGCGCCTTATGCGTAGAAGCCATCGCAAGCTATGGCTACTGCCCTTATTGCT